AAGAATTACTGGTCGGAGAGTCGGGGAGCAGTGAAGTAGTGCAGTCGGGCGAAGCGGGAAGGGCCCCACCCGGAGAATGCGGGGCGTCGGGGGTGAAGAAGCCGACCTGCCGAACTTTGGGGTCGATGACGATGCGAGAGGCGCGGCGGGCATCCATGACGGCGGAGGTGGCAGTGGATCGGAAGGGTGGAGTGACGAGGAAAGTCCAGAGATAGCAACAACAAAAGAGGCAGCGGGTTTACCGCGGGAGGGTGTAGGGTTTTGGGGGCAAAACTTTTCGTTTCGGGGGAAGATGGATTGTTCTTTTGCGGATTTTGCTAATAGCCCCCCATGGTTTTATAAAATATCACTCTGCCTACCTATGTTTCACGACAATTCAATTTTAATTATATCTATTTTTTATTTTTAATGAAATAAAAAATAACATATAAACATTATTATCTCCCTTGATTATTGTTTCTTATCTAAATTTTAAATAAATATTTTTTTTTTTTTACCTTTCAACTTACCCATTTTAAATTTTGAATTTTTATAAATTCGATCCCTTGAAAAATATTATTTTTTTTTATATTTAAAATTATTGATTTAGAGGATTTTGTTTAAAAGTCACTTCGACCATGTAAATGAAAAATATTGTGAGAATCATAGTAAAAATATGTAACAGAGATGGAGATAGACAATTTTCGTGTACTTTTTCGATAACATCAAAGAACATCCTTTATGGATCCTGTGGCCATCGAGACGGTGACGACTAAAATGCCCTAAATTTTAAGCCCACATTCATGCATTATTCATATTCCTAAGGTGCCAAAAAAAAAAAAAAAAAAAAGCTTAAATTCACTGTTTGGGAGCGTTTCAGGCCTCAGGTTTCCTAAGAAGGTAACCGGGCAAAGGACTGGCACGTGGCGAACGGAATGGGGCTTCGTTCACCTTGTTGCCGTTACTATCGTAGTAAATTACACCCGGGAAATCCAACGGCTGGCATTTGTCGCCCATCAGGATCCCCCTCTGCCAAACCCCAACACGGCCCCACTCTTTTTCTTCTTCATCGTCATCCCCCTCCGGTCGTACACCTCGCCGGCTGGTCTTTTTCTTACGAAACAAAGTCATCGCCGATAGGCTAACCGTCTTCAGCACGTTCTTCGGCCGAGCCAACATCGTCCCCGGACTCGGCTTCCACTTAAGCTTCTTGGTGACATGGGCGGCTTTTTTTGCGCAGAGAACGACCAGAACTTTAACGGACCGGAGGAGGCCGGTGGGTAGTCTATTGGGCACGGTGCAGGAGTTGGCGAACGGCGGACGTTCCGGCGTGGAGGAAGCCATAATTAATTTAGAGGAAAATGAAGTGTGAATTGTGAAGCTTGTGGAGGCTAATTTATTTATAAAAAGATGAACTGAAATTTTTTTGACCCGCAGGTCCTCGGATTTCAGCGTCCGTGGTCAACTCTCCCTGTTTTGTAACTGTTACATTCAAAAAGCTGATTGGCTCATATATTTGGACAATTTTTCTTATTATCTCACCATATATATAAACAAAAACTTTATTTGACCTCCCATGTCTAATTCAGCTAAACTTGATTTGTGACGATCTCATCGAATAATTTTGAGAATTGCAATTGGATTAAAATAAATATATTACAATAACTATTTTTGCATTAATGTTATAATTAAAGATTAAAAAAATTTAAATACCAAAATGTAAACATTATATTTTTTTAACAAAATGTTTGAAATTTAGCCATGGACTAAATATATATATTTGTAATTTGTTGTTTAAATATCAATATTCCAAAAAATGGAATATAATTAAATATTATGTCAACCTACTATATATATATCTATAAAATTAAAAAAAAATGATAACAAATCAAGAGTTGCCACGTATACAACACAAAGAAAGAAGCGTAACAGAGGGACCAGAAAAACGATCGTTTGGGGGAAATAGGAAATTTTGAAAATCGAGTATATAGATTTTTTAAAAAATGATTAACATTCTTTCGAAATCCATCACATACTTGATGAAATGACAAAAATCCTCCCAGAAATTTGTTTGTTGAAAAATTTTGAGTTGAAATTGACAAAATAAATGCAAGAATTCCGTAAAATTTGACCTAGCTTGAATCGATCTTAGAAAACTTCCAAACTTCCATTGCCGATTTCCGATTCTGTTTACACAGAAATTCCGGCGATAAAAATCAGATCAAATGCATAAACTGAATCGAATTCATTGAAAGTCCTTCATCGTACTCACCGACGTGATGAAATCCGTATACTCCGAGTGGAAGAAGAAGGAAGGATGGCGCCGCGAATTAGTGTGAAAATGGTGATGCTCCGATGAAGGTCGATTGAACGCTGTGAAATTGCAGGGAATGAAGAGGAAGACGACGATTGGAGATCTTGACAAAACCCTTCCCGCGACGAACGAGTGACCGGAGAAGAAGAGCCCATTGGATTTTAGGCGAAATTGGGAAACCCGAAAATTGAACCAGCACGTGCTTCTCACGTGTGGCCATGAATTCCCCCAACTATCCATTTTACAAAGAAGCCCGGCCCAATACGAGAAAGATAATTGAAAATATTATTAAAAAAAGAAAAAAAAAACCTGAATTAATTAATATTAATTCCTTGTTTCACGCGACGTGCCGTGTCCTCACAGCCATTTGTTGATTAATTTTTGTTAATAATACAATAATTTAATTAGCTCTTGTTTTTATAATTAATTAGAAATTCAGGCATAGGAAATAAAATAAGAACAAAAAATTAGAGCAATAATTTGATGAATATACATATAATTATTAATTTTCATTTTGTATTTGATGAAGAAAAAAATGGAATGGTGAACAAAGATGATTACAACATGAATACACATAATGATATAAACCATAATAATATATAATGAAAATTTCAAAACCAAAAGAAAGAACCTCTCTCAATCTCAATCTCAATCTCAATGGTGCAATGGGTTTGGACCAGAAGGGACGAGTCGTTTTTCGACGCCATACCGGGGATCGATCTCGGCTGCAGCCGGGGGAGAGGCGGCGAGAGGGTGGGCATGGGTGTGGTGGTGGTGGTGGTGGAGGTGGTTGTGACGGTGGTGAAAGGTGGTGAAGTGAAATTTAGGAGACAAGAGCTTTCTGGAATGGGAAAAAGATGGGGGTTTTGGAATGTTGTGAAGAGAAGCTCCATGACAGAAGATGGGTGAGAAGGAGAGGAGGAGGAGGAGGAGGAGGAGAAGAGAGAAGAATTTGGAGAGGTTTAATGGCATGATTAATAATGGTGTGGAGGGTGGGGAGAGGGAGGGGAGAATGGGAGGGAGAGGGATGCATGGAAGAGAGAAAGAGAAGGGAGAGGATTAAGAAATGGGGTTTAATTCTGGGAGTTTGAATATAAAAAGGTTGACTTTTGGACTGTATTTGTAGAGAGAGAAGAAGAAGATGAAGAAGAAGAAGGGAGACAAACTGTCTCAGAATTCTTGTTTCAATGACAACTTCCTTTGCGTTCAAGGAACTAACCCTCATTTAAAGCAGATTGTCAAACTTTCAATATTATATATATATATATATATATATATATATATATATATATATATATATATATATATGTATGTATGTATGTATATATAATGTTAGAAGTTGTTTAAATTTCAACCTCAAACTATAAAAAAAAATTATAGATGAAATAAATAACAGAGAATTGATATATACAATGATTTAAAAAAACATATATAAAAATGAATAATATTTATATAATCTTAGGCCAGCAAAACATGTTCAATTATTTTTAGTATTAATTAACAAATAAAAATATGAAATTCTGCAACTAGAAGTCCTGATTTGTCTCTTATACAGTGGTTCCAACCCCATTTGACCAGACCTTTCAATGGTCAATGGCTTGCCGAACTCATTTGAAATGAGTGTGGGAACGAAACATTTTTTTAGATGGATGTGGAAATCTCACGCTAGCAGATGAGTTATAAAATCGTGAGACTCGACGAACAATACATCATGAGTCAAAACAGACAATATCTGGTATTAGTGAGCTTAGTCATTATAAATGGTAGTCGAGCTATGTGCTAGAAGACGCTAAGTCTCAAAGGGGAATGGATTGTGAGATCTCATATCAATTCGAGAGGGGAATAAGTGTCCGTAAAGACATTGGGCTTCAAAGGGATGAATTGTAAGATCTCACATCGGTTGGAGAGAAAGAATTTGAATCATTACACAATCAACAAAGATCCAATATGATTGAGTGTGCAAACCCAAGTTCCCAAGCAAAATATTTCTTTTTGTTAAAAAAACAAAGCACAGCCCCTTTTCTTCCGGAAGTGGGAAAATGACCTTTGAATGGCTTTCTTTCAAGATCACTTTGTCGGCTAAGCTCTCAATATCATGCCTTTATATCTTATCACTAGAAAATATTGACCATTCGATCATTCACCACGATGTAAATGGGGAAGACAATTCTTATGCAGAAATGTCGGCATCGGTTGGGAAAAACTGATGAGATGAGGAAGGGGAAAGTCAAATCACCCCCCACCTAGGATTGACTTTGCTTAAACTACAGACACCTTCCACCTAATAACACTCGGAGTTCACATTTGGCATATCAGAGTCAGAAGGGATAGCCTTAAACCTGATGGCTTGAGGCTTTCCTACTCATATTCCTTCTGTTCTTTCCAGCTAGTCCACTACATGGCTGAGAAGTTGAGCAACCTCCCTCTGTCCTGAAGGTTGATAACAAGAATAAAGCAGGGAGAGAGGGCAACATATGAAGAAGATATACAAGATCCAGAGCAAGGTAATTTGTTGTAATGACTAAAAGAAACCGTTCTGAAAGGATTACCTTCTAAATTGTTCCATGCTGCTGCAATCTACAGATAAACAACATGGTGAAACTCTAATGACCCACTAAGAGATGTTACAAGAAATTGTGATCTGACGATAAGTGTTAATTGTTATTGTAACCAATGTAAATATAAACATACAAATGAAGCACATGCATTATGCAATGTTTAAAAAGATATTAATTTATTATGTTCAGTTGTTTCTACAGGGAGAGTAAGAAGAAAATGTTTGGCAATCGCTGTCTTTATTCCTAAGCTTCACCATCAACTAAAAAAGTAAAAGCTACTGTAAAATATACCGTATTGCTCCAATAGCAAGTTTGCACACGGGTTCATCCCTTTATAATTTGGTAACAGTTGGATTGACATTCCTTTCTTCTTTCATTCATATATTTTCGTTTATCTTTTCTTCCAACACTTCAATTCATCGGAGTGGCCAAGATGAAATATCAGCAGAAAATCAAGCAATTTAGGGTAGGGATCTCTACAATCGGCTCCAATATAATAAGGAACACGGCTGCTCAAGATTAATTGCAGAGCTCCTACCTCAATTTATTAAGCCCTTGCAGATGGAATAAAGGTATGACCTTGGTCAGATTTGGGTTTCAAATTTCTCTGTCTCTTCAACCTTCCTCCCAATCCACATCATCTTCTTCTTCATCATCCTCTACCGAAGCTGATGCTTCAACGTTCAAGTCAACCTTGTAATTTTCATTTGCATTACCTGTAATAAGGAATGAAAGTTAAGGGACTTGGTGATTGGAGGCAAGAATCATCTAGTAATAGATAGTTGAATAAAGTCGAACCAAAAGAAGTTATTCCCTGTCGCAACTTACCTTAACACACAAAATATGCCATAACCAATTAAAGAAGAAGTTCTACGAAACTGTTAATTTCAATATCTTTATAAACTTAGTCTAGGAAACATAATCAAATCTAATGTAAGACTGAAAAATCAATAATTGAGAACCTAAAGCATTTAGTCACTAAATGCCCTCCGAAAAACACCAAAGTAAGGTCGACACACAACTTCGAAGCCACTATTCATTTGAAAAGCCAGTCTGGTATGACAGGGCGTAAGACAATAAGATCTTGATTGCAATTTGTAACCAATCAAGCTCGTTTTTAATAGAAATAATCAATTAAGTTTTGAAACTAGAAAGTCAGTCCACAGTTCAAAACATAAATAATGAGTAAAACATTTAAGTAACATGAAACATAAAATTCATACACAAAATCCCTGATAAACTTGGAACGACATAGGGAAGATTAGCAAGGCCCCTACAAAAGGATGATAGAATTCATACGCAAAAGAAAATGATGATTACCAAAAAGCTACTTCTCAAACTAAAACATTTCTTTCTCTAAATCCATGCCTAATATGAAGACTGATAAAGCATATGACATGTTTATGTCATTTACTAATTTATGGTACTGTCAAGGTACTAATACAGTTATACTGCACGGCAGAGTAATAAACAGATATGAACATCATACAAATTTAAAATGTCAAACATGGAAAAAAGGAAAATAATGTCTCACCCCCTGTTGGAGCCTCCTCCCACTCAATATCATCATCATCCTCCTCTTCACGTTTTGCCTTCATTCCCACCTGGCGATTGGAATTTGTGTTATTTTCTGTAACCTCAGTGCTGGAAATATTCTGTTCACTCTTAGCAGCTTCTTCAAGCTCTTGTTGCTTCTTCAGTATAGCAGCATAATAAGCTTTAACATACTCATCCTACAATATAGTCAACCAGTACATCAGATCATGTATTCTCTTTTTATTTTAGACTTTGGGATAAAAAAGCACTTAAGAGTTAAGAGTAAGAAATGTAAAGAGCTAATCTAATTGAACAGGCCTGTATATTCGTTTTATCATCATCATTGGCTAATGACTTTTTATCATCAAAAAACTGAGCAGAAGCTGAACCAGCATCCATCTTTGACTCCTCTTTGACCTCCCCACGTTGTTCCTTTGTGAGGTTCATTCCTTTCTTGATCATCCAAGGAGGTAAGACTTTCAGACTCGTCTCAGATTCAGATTTAACATCTGCTCCCTTGCCATCAGCCCCAGAAAAGGCAACTTCAACCTAAAAGGTAAATTCAAGAACTCATTGACTGTTAGAATGGTGCCTTTCAAGATCCAACAATATAACAGGCTTAAGGCAAAAAATGGGATACCTTGGTCTCACCAACAAAAGGCATTGGTGCTCCCCCATATCCTAAACCTTGTGACGATTTTGAAGGATCGTTGCCATTCAGATCACCATTTGCACGTGCAGCTGCACTTGCATGAGCTTCCCATGCTAAAAGAGTTCCAAATTCTGGAACTGCCAAATCTTTGACTCTGCTGACTTGTTCCATTAAAGGTTTAAGCTGTACCTGCAATAATTCAATTTATTCATCAACAATTAGCATAATTCATATACAGTACATAATTCTTTTCAAGATCAATATGGTAAAGAACATGAAAATGAACATGATTCAGAATACATCTCTTTTTGGTTATTGTACTAACTAAATGTAAAATCGAATACAGTAAAATTCACGACCCATTGGAAAATAAAATTCTATTTCAAGTGATCAAACCTCCATCTTCTGAAGCATGTCCTTTAATTTTTCATGTCGACGCTTCCTGGCATTATCATCACCATCCCCCCCTCCCTGAGCAGCAGCCAGTTTGTCACTCTCTGCAACCAGCTCTCCATTGCAATTTTCACAGTGGAAGTATTCATCTTCAAGAGAGATTAATCGCAGGGCATCCAAAGCAGTGTACCTAATCAATGTTATAAATTATTTAAGCTTGCAGCTTGCACCGTCAGAAGTCAATATCAAGTGTACTGTGATTCCAATTTTAAATATTACAAACAACATTCTTTTATGAGAGAAAGGACATATCATCAAAACCTTCTCGAACAGTTGGGGCATATATATTCCTGAACTGTGTTCTTGTCCTCTAATTCATCTTTCAGTTTTTTCCTCATGCGGTGCACTCTGTATCTAACCACATCATAAATCTGTAGCCAAGTTTAGCTTAAATAAGGTAACTGATAGAATTAAGTCTATTTCCATTGAGTTTAGATACAATTATTATTTAGTAAAGAAGCACCCATAACAATTACGTATAGAAAAGAAACCTGTGCATAGTCTAGCGAGCAATAAGAGTGCGTGTGCATCTTAATCTTTTCATCCCCCTCCTTTGTTGGGCGTTGACCATCAGCTGTGGCAGCAACTGCAGCACTAAATATTTTTGCTCCCTTAGCTGTCTGGAAAAACATAGAACAAAAAAATGAAGAGCATGCCTATAAATAATGATATCATGTTAGAAAGGGGTAACTCATTGAGACAGCGGCTCCACATTAAAAAGTATGAATTATCAAGCAATATATTTAACAGAATTCAAATAGAACCTTCATTATGAAAAATACCAGACAAGATTACATACCCCGTATGTTAATCAGCCTCAAATGAAGAAATGCAAGAAGATAAGAGATAAGATGAGAGAGGAAAAAGAGCACAGTTGATGATTGTGGTCATCATTCAACTTGAGAGAGGAAAAAGAGCACAGTTGATGATTGTGGTCATCATTCAACTTAATGCCAATCGTATCCTTCTTTTTCAATCTTCCTCTAGTGAAGATCTAAAAAGGCGTAATACAGACAAGAGAAAAAAGGTGGATTGTCGGATGCCTAGTCCAAGAAAGAAGGTATAGCAATGTAGCCACTAGTAACTGCATGAGTTGCCAATCAATGGATGCAGCATGAACTATATTTATCAGTGCTCCAAGTGCAAGGGACAATCGTGCAATCTAACGTCTAAATTGAACAAAAGCTCGTAGAGCCTCTCATTCATTCACTTTAGAGATTTTCTCAAAGAAAACAATTTTTTTTTTTTCCTTCTAAAAATCCCTTTACTATCTGTCTTTAGCAAGTCAATTGTCTGCCCTCTGGCCAACAAATTAGAAAAAAGGCTCTCCTATTGGCAAGTAAATGAGAGATAGAGAAATTACAAACATGTTTAATGAAAATACACCAAGAGGCAACAAAAACAGTAACTTCCCAAGACCCTCCAACAGCCTTTCTGCTCCTTGAAACACTTCTCTGTTTCTTTTTGACAAATTTCTCGAAATAACACAAACTCCATTCAACATAGGTACCACCTTATATGCCATAAACAGTCAAGTTAAAATGCTGAAAATTACATACTAAGATATTCCAAGCTACTAGCCTAATAGAAACAAGAACAAGATGCACAGGTAGAGTCAGCACTGACCTCCCTTCTATGATCTCGAGTAATCAGTTTTTCCTCTTCTAAAAACCTTAGGGTTCGACGTAACTGCTTCGAATGTAGTTTTAAGTTCTTTGCCAAATCTTCTTCCCGAACCCATTGTCGTCTAGCACAGAATACAACAAATGTGATGATCAAAGCATAAATGAGGCAGTAGAACAGCTCATCAGATTCACAGAAGAAGATTCATACGCGCATGGCTCCATTATCATAAAATTTTAAACCTTAGGCAAGACCATATCCCAAATTCTTTATGATAATAAATTAAAAAAACATGACAATGCCGTTTTAAATTAGCTATTTGCTCAGACCATCCAAAAGAATCTAACATTAAAAACAGGATGAGGTTCTTTAACAGATTGAACAAATAATAAGCAGAAATGGGATGAAACCTCCAGTTTGGAAGAAACAAAAAGTACAACTAAACTATTGAGTAAGCTACATCAATTTTGCCCTTCTTCAACTTAGCTTCACTAAAGAAACAAACATGATATGCATTGATTTAGTTGTTCCACTACAGCACTATCATAATGGGGTGAAAATATATTGCCCAGCTTAGTCTGGAAATATAACTACCAAGAATCGGCTTAATACTACAATACTCTAAAATGAAGAAAGAGGTTTCCAGAGATCCAATCGTATTATTTAAGCACACGTTCCACTAATAAAACTAGCTCCCCTTCTCCTTTCAGTTGCTGTTTAAGTAAGCACAAATTGAGTGACGGTGTTCTTCCTTGACTGAAGATTTCCAAGTAAATAAAAATGCAAAAGAGCAGTACCTCGTGAGAGCATCGAGAACGACAACCGCGATTCCCCTATTATCACTCCGACCGGTCTTGGGCTGATTATCCCCTTTAGTCGTAATATCATCATAAAAAGCTCTCGCAGCTAGCTTCACCAACCTGCCCAATTGATCGAGATGAAACCAAAACAGAAAACAGCGTCATTGTCGAGCATTCAGAGACGGCTAAAGAAGACATCCAAACTGCCATTGCATCGTTTTGAGAGGGCTCGAGTAAATAGAGAAAAGTACCTGTTAAAAGGTTCGATGCTCATGGCGAAGATAAATGAAATTGGGGTTCAATTTCTCAATCAAATAATTACTCCTGTTTGAACCCCCTGGATTTGGAAAGATTCAAATCAGAACGGATTTGAATCATATATTGATCCAAAAATTTGCATCCAAATTAGGTCTGATTTGGCAACAAATTGAACTAAAATTAGCCTCGATCCAAATTTTCCAGAAAGAAAGGTAAGTTGGCGTGGCAGTGGTGGATAGGGAGAAAGGGAAAAAAGGCGACGGCGACGGCAATGACTGACTGACAATGGCAGCGGTGGAGAGGGAGAAGAACGAAATAAGAAAACGCGCGTTATGGTGGGGTTGTTGACACAATATGGCGAAAGGTGGGGTTATACGTCAGTCTAGGGCTTATTTTTCTTCACAGAAAAAATATATAAATATATAATAAAAATCTGGATTTTTTTTTTTTAATAAACAAATATAATTGTAAATAAATATGGTTGGTAAATATAGATAATAGATATTTTTAAATTTATTAAAAACAGATACCAATCAAATTTATTTTGACGACATTAAATTTATTTATTTAATTAAATTATAAATAAATAGGTATTTTCCGGTGGTATTGTAAATTAATGATTATTTATGCGACGTATATCATATTCTATATCGTTGGTAAATATAGATAATAGACATTTAAAAAAAATGGTATATTTTAAGAATAAAAAATATATAGTTATTTTCAAGATGAAGAAGTAATTATTTTACGAATAAATCTATAAAGTAAAGTTTATTATTATTTACACGTAATGTATTGTATTTTCTTATTGGTTAATTTAGTAGAAATATATGTTTTCTGCACAGGAGTCGTATTCACTGTATATATATATATATTATGTTAAGTTCAAAACTTATGCATATTATGATTTATTTATTCATTTAAGATTTATAAATGGATAGAAGAAAGGATTTGTGAGAATATATAATATTAATATATATAAGTGAAATGTATTCACAATTTTGTTGCAAGCACAATAAAGAAGAAGTAGAATAAAGTGTTAAACACGGCGGCCGTACATGATGGGGTAACTGGGACGGGACTTGTTATTCCTCGTTGCACAACAGCCGATGCAATACACAATGGTAATGAACGCAAGCACGCAGCCATTAAAAATGGCGAACAATCTCCAATCCTTCCTGATGTTCGACAACACTCCTCTTTTGCACGCATTACACGCGTAGCACAGACCATACTTATCGTTGCTCCATTTTTTACAATCCGCCTCCGCCACCGCCGGCCCTGATTTCGGCACCGTCCACAACGTCGCGTTCTTTAACTCAAATCCACACTCCGATGGCGGCTTACAGCATCCAGACTTCACCAAAACAACATACAATCCATTTCGATTAAAATTAGAATCATGTGTTAAATGAACACGACTTTCCACAATCGTATGATATTTTCCACTTTAAGCATAAACTCTCGTGAAGATAGTATTATTTGATTATAAATACATGATCATTCCCTAAATTAGTCGATGTTAGACTTTCATCATCCAACACCTCCCCTCGAACAAAGTACGTTTCCCCTTAATCAAGACTCTACTCTTTTTTCTTTTGGAATCTTTGTCATTTTTACTGTGTCTTTGAGGAGGCTTGACTCCTTTTCTTTTGAGTCATTTGTTCGGTATAACTAAGTTTAGGGCATGAATTTGATACCATGTTAGGAATCACGACTCTTCGCGATGATATGATATTGTCTCCTTTGAACATAAGCTGTCATGACTTTGCTTCAGGGTTCCCCAAAAGATCTAACACCAATGTAGATAGTATTATTTGATTATAAACACATGATTATTCTCTAAATTAGCCGAGGACTTTCATCATCCAACATCTCCCATCGAACAAAGTACGTCTCCCCTTAATCGAGGCTCAACTCCTTATTTTGGAGTTTTAGTCATTTTTTATTATGCTTTGGAGGAGGCTCGACTCGTGTTCTTTTGAGTCATTTGTTTGACATTTGAGGATTTACCAATCTATTGATATTACTCAGTTTAGGACATAGCTATGATACCATGTTAAATGATATGATATTGTCCACTTTGAGCATATTGATCTGTGCTTCCCTCGCACCAATGGAAATAGTATTCTTTCATTATAAATTATTGGGCTTCCCCAAAAGACCTCACACCAATGTCGGAGATAGTATTATTTGATTATAAACTCATGATCCTTCCCTAAATTTAGTCGAGGTGTGACTTTCATTGACTCTCCGAAGAGAAACGGTAGGCGTACCTGAATAGGAGACAAATTCTTCTTGTAAAATTCACCCGGAACTTGAGGAATGTTATCGCGGAGACTATCGCAAATCTTAGCATCAACCAAACAGCTCCTGATCTCATTCCAATGTTCTTCATTCACGACATATTTCTGCAGCCAATGCGAGTAATCTCCAAGGCGATACTCACTATATCCTTTCCCGGACACGGTCCTTCCGACGCCTTTGTTCGTGACCAAAATCGCGAAAATCGTGAAGGCGAGGGTTCCGAGGATTAGGAGAAACAGAATCGTGAGGTAGAGGTAGAGCATGAAATTGAGACGGTAGAGGGATCCGACGAGACCTAACAGCGACAATACGAGGAGGAGGAGTCCGAGAATGAGGAGAGGGTTTTCGATTACCTTCTGGCAGTCGGTGGAGACGCCGCGGATTCGCAAGTAGAGAGAGGCGATGGTTGCGGCTAGGCCAATTATTAGAGTGCAGCCGTTCAGAATTCCGATCACCACGTTGCTCAGGCGAGGCATTTCGTTACTGATAGAGAGAGAGAGAGAGAGAGAGAGAGAGAGAAAAAAGAGAGAGAGAGAATACTGTGGAAGAAGAAGCCGTCGCGATGGATATTTGTAGACTGTGTTCGTGTGTTGTGTAATTCAACAAACCCAGGCCAGAACAGTTATCTAATTTCTTTTTTTATTTTTTTTGTTCGATACAGTTATTTTGCATGTGACATGCACGCGCCCAATACTGTTCTGTTATTTAACCTAATTTGCCACGTCGCAGACACTGGACTGCCGACATTATATTTAATTTTTTAAAATAAATTTATGCCTTTTAGAAGTTATTAATCTCTTTCTTTTTTTTTTTTTTCAATATTTTACATTAGCTTTAATTTTTTCTAATATTGCACAGTTAAATAGCTGTTTTTCGTAAACTTTTTTCAACCTGAAAAAACTAAAAACTAAAAGACAAAAAAAGAAAAAAAAAGAAGTTTTTTTTTAGACTTTATATTATCTCTTTGGTAATTTTATATAAAGAGAATATTTAAAAGCTTACTTCATTTTCTATGCTATTTCAAATTAATATTACACTGATAAATATAACAATAAGAATTGATAAAATACTTCGTCTAGACCTGGTTTATAATTTATAAATTTTTTAGTTAATGTATTAATTACTGTGGGAATAATATTAAAAGGACTATTAAACATTATATTTAAGTATAAAAGGATATTTAAGCCGTTGAGTGGAGATATTAAATATAAAATGATTTAGTATGTTGAATAATTCATGTTTGGAACGCAGTTATGAGTTTTGATTATCTTTTTGTAACTAAACTTGTATGAGGGATCTTCGTGGAGAGACGAGAGATGGAGGAACCATCAGTTGAGATGGGATGAGGTGACATACTACGATATGTACAAAAGTGTTGCTCTTCAGCTCGACAATATAGAACCTCTCACTCTCGTTCCTTTATGAGGTCTTATTGGGATAGGTAGGCCCAAACCTTTCGCCTCTTCTCAATCGAGCAATAGTTTCCTACGACGGCTGACAAATAGGAATTTAAGTCGTAAAAAGAAGTAGCAGGTATACCATTTGAGTTGTGATTATTATCATTAAATTTGGAATAAAATTAATTTATGGAATTTGATTTGAGATTAAAAAAAAAAAAACTTTAGTGATTATGTCGGCCCCACTAACCTGGAGTCCAAACCTCCACTGCCCACCGAGCGTCGCTTTCACTGTTCTCGTGGCTGCGGGCCGCTCTGTTTTGAACGCCTCTTTTGGGCGGACTTTCCCACTTCTTCACTTTTCTCCTCCTCTACAAATATTATATTATACACACCCCGTTTCCATTTCCATTTCCATTTCCATTTCCATTTCTCACCAACCTCATTGCTCTCAATCGATAATTTCCATGGCTTCTCTTCCTTCCCCACCTACCACTACCACGAATCTCCTCAACAAATCCCTTCTTCCTTCCAAGCCTCAATCTCCGATCATCTCAATCCCTTCTTCTTCCTCCTCGAAGCCTCTTCGTTCACATGGCGTTCGCTGCTCTGTTGCTGTGGCGCCTTCTGCTTCGACCAAGGCGTCCAGCGAATTTAAGTTGAAATCTGTCAAGGCCCGGCAGATCATTGACAGCCGAGGCAATCCGACTGTCGAGGTTGATTTGATTACTGATGATCTCTACCGATCCGCTGTCCCCAGCGGAGCCTCCACTGGGATCTATGAGGCCTTGGAGCTTAGAGATGGGGATAAAAACGTTTATGGCGGTAAAGGCGTGCTTACCGCTGTTAAGAATATCAATGACATCTTGGCTCCAAAGCTCGTCGGCGTCGACGTCAGGTGGATTTAATCTTTTTTTTTTTTTTTTTCTTTATTTGCTTTAACGAACATCGGTTGAAATGTTCATAATAGTAAGTGAAATCTTGCAATCTGAACAAATTGTTTCTTCTACTTTCTGGAAAATTAGGAACATAATTCTCCTCTCCGAGTGTTTTACTGTTTTTGGTCCGACTTTTTCTTCTTGAAACCTTGTTTGATAGTTTACTGCAAATTTTTTTTCACATTTACGACTTCTTGTTAGGACTATAATTTGCGTAGTTTCAGATTTCTGTCTGAAACTTCAAGTACTTCTGCAAATGGTGGCTTAGTTCATGCTGGGATTGACAATCTATATGTGTTTTCGTTGGGCTTACTAATATCGTTTGCAGCCTTGTTATTCAAATTGTTACTGAAGAAGCGAAATTCCAAGTTTTTTTGGTCTGACAATGTGGAAGTTGTTTCATTTCTGTAGAAATCAAGAAGATGTGGATGCAATTATGCTGGAAATTGATGGTACCACAAACAAGTCGAAACTTGGTGCAAATGCTATACTGGGAGTTTCTTTGAGCGTATGCAGAGCTGGTGCTGGCGCCAAGGGACTACCATTATATAGGCACATCCAAGAATTATCAGACACAAAGGAACTTGTTATGCCAGTCCCTGCTTTTAATGTTATAAATGGAGGTAGCCATGCTGGAAATAATCTAGCCATGCAAGAATTTATGATCTTACCAGTAGGTGCTGCATCTTTCGCGGAGGCGCTTCGCATGGGA